ATCAATAGAACGATATTCGCATGTGATAGCTATGAGAGTGAATACAACGCGTCTAAAAAGAATGAGAATTCATCTAATTGTAAGTCAGTTTGAAGTATATGAGCGTGTCATTTAACTTTTCATGCAATTGTATTCGATTGCTGTTCTGAGGAATACAACGATGTAAAAGAAGGCCCAGCGATGTAGATTACCATCGTGAACGTCCTAATAAGATGAAACATAGCGGTCATCTGAACGTAACATATGCAATTTCCATGTTCACTAGGCGAGAGGGGGTGGGGGTATCGGTGGCCAGAGCTGGTCTGCTCATCAAAGCTGATCTGCCATATTCATTCGGCCACCAGAACCATTCTCTTTTGAACATGGTGGATCGTCTCCAAGGCATCTCAAGTTGGTTATCTTAACAGCCCAACCAGTGCGACAGCCACCGGCACTGATGATCTATCTGAAAATTCATTCGTAAGTTACAAATCCGGTTTTTAAATTTCCAACTGACTAAGTTCTTAATATTTATTCTTTGGAACTTATTTCAGGCACTCTTACGCAGAAGCTGTGGCTTACAATTGTAAATGTTACCACGTTACGTAGCACCTTCATCACGGAGCAAACAGGAGGATTCAGGACGGCAAAATGTTAAATTGGGTTGCATTCGGTCCATCATGTGTTTTCGAGCATAAATAATACGAGACATCACGAGGACGTTAATCAATCTTGAGCAAATGAAACTAAATCTCTGACCTATGGTACTTGTGGGGTACGGAAAAGCACAGTTTTTTTTCCTAAATACAGAATACGCTGAGCGTACTGTATCGCAGTAAGAGTCTTTCCAACCACAAGAGTCTTTTTGCACTGGCTTTCCCGATGTTCATGAGACCAAGATCAGTTTCCACATATTCTCTCCGTAGCCTTCATTTTTCGGGCATAAAGGCAACGCAACAATAGGGATAAATAATCTCAACGAAATGATCAATTCACAAGTACAGTCGTAGACGAGTCTCATCAAAAAATTGTTCGCATTACATCAGCAAAACCATCATCAGAGACTTTAAGCAAATGAATCAATGCGTGAAGGGCAGTTGTTTGACGAAAGGTTTATTCCGAATAATGAACTGAGTTGATATGTCATACACATAAAATGGGATTGATATCGCTATCTTATCACGGACACTGCTTTCATTATCACTGTAATATGAACTGTTATCGTTATCATTCTTATCAGGCGTGCAATGTTTCTTTTGTTCGAACGTATGCATGCTGTTGTTGTTTTGTATCCACTTTGGCACTTGCATCTGCGATATTCTGTTCAAGATTCAAGTGGGCACGCTGAAGGAGAGCTTCTAATTGGACACCGCCGACAGTACTACCGCTCGACGTGACCTCGCTTTCCTCTTCCCAGTCGTAACGATCTTCCATCTTTATGTGATTACTTTCACGTACCTGTTATTCGATCAGAAGACAGTTTTAATAGAAAGCACACATCGTCAGAGGGCACTCCGCAAATTTCTACGGGTATTAACGCAAATACGGATGTGTAATGTACTTTTTAAGTTTTAAATGTATTTTTATTTTTGTATGAAATCCCTTGCAAGCCTAATCGTAAGTGTGAAATGAGTCTATGCATATAAGACTAAATTCGAGTGGATAAGACTAAAATGTGCGCTTATACACCCGTACGAGTTTCATACGCTGCCAGAAATACAAATCTCCAAATCAATCTTACGAGCAGTCATGAATCGATCTCCGAAATTACGAGCCAACTGACAGGAAGCACTGTACTGACTGAGTATGAATAAACGCACTACTGATGAAACGCAAGTCAAATGATAACTCAAAAATGTACACACCTCATCGAACAGTGAGTAAATACGATCATAATCTGGATCTTCTTCAAATGCTAGTGCATCAATCATTTTTAAAATTTCATCGTACTGTTTCGGACATTTCTGCAAAAGTTCGCATCGTCCGGCACCCCTCGCATGTTTTTTCGCCTTTTCAGCTGCTTCGCGCTCTGAAATTATCATTCGTCCATTTTTNTTTTTGTGGGAATTGGATTGTCAAATTTATTTCACCGATGTCTTCGAAATGGATGAATTATCAAAGGCAAATTCCTTGACTACTGAATAAATTTTCTGATTTCATTTTGATAATAGGTTACGGTTGTGAAAAGATTGTTACGGCTCACAACAAAAGGATTTTTAAAGGGGAAATGGTGGTTTGACAGAAATGCTGAGAGGAGACACGGGGCATAATAACACTTGGATACTGTTCTAGAGATACTGATTGTATGCAGTCATTTTTGAACACTGCCAAACAACGAATCTTCTACGACGCTATCTCCCCACACTCACACCTTTTTTCTTTTGTGCTCTCAGGAATAATGCTCAAAATAACTTGGTATTCATGCAGCGATACAGTTTTCATTCCCTGCGCCTCATCATTACCGATAACAGTCATGGACATATGGCTGCACATAAGCAAATGATATGTGATCATTTGAGGCTCACATTGAGCAATACGCTAGATCAGGACACACTTTATCACCAATGAGACATATAAGCGTTTCTGTAAGCTCACCTTTAACGAACCTCCACGGTAACGCTCCACGCGATATTTCGACAAGCATATAGAACCAAGACTCGAGATCGTCTCGTCGGCTCAGATCCAATCTCAAATGTGCGTTCAATGAGCCGTACCGGTTCGTACCTCGCCAACCAACCTCACCTCGTGATTTCACGTGCTTCCCAGAGCGATCCACAAATCGTCGCGCCAAACCAAAATCGAACAAGAAAATAGTTTTGTGTTGATTGTTCTCACGAAGTCCAACCGCATAATTGGATGGTTTAATATCGCGCGATAAGAATTTGCATTGGTGCAATTCTTGAATCGCTTTACACGAATGAATGCCAATGCGCAACGCTGTACTCAACGAAAAGCGTCGTTCGTATTGCTCATTGCGCAGTTTATAGACATCCTTACCGAGTAGTGTCATCACAACGAACACAAACATCGGCTTCACACAACCCTGAATTCAGAACAATTTTCATCTGCGCATCCATCAAATCCGTTCATTATTCCCGTTTTTGCCGCATTGCACCATTGAGACGAAACTGGTGCAACAAGAGACTTCATTGAATGCTATTTCAATTGCTGTAACAGCTAATGCTGGACATAGATCCAATGCAACAGATGCCTTTGCAAGAGGCACAAATTAGCTGGAAATGATTCAAGGCATGCAACCTAGAGACATGAATTGGTCACACGTGAGAATGTATGAATGATTTGTCGTTGCAGTTTTATTTGAATACAATGAGCTCAACCACATTTTACCGTTATTTAATGATTTGTCGATGGAGTAACCCACAATACATCCAAGATTTAGGCAATAAATGCAAGCTCACTGCGTTGTTATCTTATTATCAATCGAATCACCTAACAATTCTAAATGAATTTTCTCTCAAATCGATTCTTTCACTCACTTTCTGATTAGTTTCCTGCACTGATCCCAAATATGGGCCACAAATATTGAACCAATTTTTCTATTTTCTATATGTTAGATCAATGATTTATCACGANTTAGATCAATGATTTATCACGACTTGAAAGAGGTTTCTCAGTCCACTATTATCGCATATCTTGATGGTGCTGTGTAAAGCTTTGATTTAATCAACTATCTTCTCAATTCAGGCAGATCAAAATTCTAGAAGATTTATGGACTGAAACGAGTAAAAATGGAGATGACTGCTTCAATTCCAACTGCTGCAGTGTTCTTGTTGCAGGTAAAGAATGGTAGCATGCACGGAATGGTACTTACGTAGTCGAACAGCTTGCAGATATGTTCACATTGAGAACGTGTTGCTGCTTTAAGCACTTTAATTTCGTTATATAATACTGAATTTGAATATTTCTCTACTTTCAACGCGACGGCTCTTAAGGAATGATGATGGAGTTTGTTTTGTTGAATTGTAGGATACCAGAAAAGATGACATCGAAAACATACATTGCGACTAACTTATGTCTCATTATCTCAGTTTTGTCTACATCCAACATGTGACCTGATCTCGTAGCACACTACATTGATTTGGCATTCTATGAAACCGATTACCAAATAGGTCAATCAGAACTGTTTGCATCCCTTAAAACTTGAACTATTTCTACTGGGCAAAATTTTCTAAAAGTTAAAACTAGGATGTTTATCGGCAGTCCACTATAAAGGCAGTTTTTTTTGTTTTGCTGCAACTAGAACCCACTCTTTTATGGTGTCAAGTCACACTCAACCAATGATATCACAGCGTCTTTTTTGTTTCATCGCTCCTTGAAAAGAGGGCAGACGATTGAAGCAACGTTGAGTTGAACGGCACAAGTTTGTTGATTTTCGGAATATGCGAATTTTACGGCATGTAACATACAGCCGCATCATTTTCGAAAATTTAATCCTTATCATATGAATATGGAAACTCACAACAAAAAATTGCACACTGAAAAACACATCAGTAAATCTTCATACCGATCTCCAAACGTCGTGCAAAAGACACTACCGTAGCCACCTTCACCAATTAATATCAACAATTTGTAGTAATGGCGTGTAGATTGTGAACAAACTAGTTCACCAACTTTTGGAAGCTGATCGATAGTTTGTTGCTGCTTAGTGATCGCTGTCTTCATTTAGAAGAATGCTGCATAGATCGAGTATATCAATGTTATTAATTCATGAGCTCTCTCACTCAAACGAAGTGAACAGCTGAGAGAAGCAACGATGAATCGGCCGATCGACGCGACCAGAAGATGAAAAATAAATCATCTCAATGAGGAATACGGATTCGATTAGAAGCAGTCTCACAAATTTGCATGCGAAAAGAATGCCTCAGTATGTCTCAAAAGTACGTCTCAAATCTCACAAGTCTCACATATATGTTACTGCGCAAGCCTGAGAGAAAATAGCTATATCTCATCAACGAAGCAAAACCGCTCAGCAAAATATATGTTTTTCTAAAAGTAGAGATTCTGTGCAATCGAATGCTGCAAAGAAATTGATATATTACTGGGCAAACCTGAGGGTACCGATAGTTTGAATATTGTAACGCCTATATTAATGCATACAATCGATCTATAGTGATACAATGCATTTGAATGAGTGCCTCTACGCTAATTGAGATGACCTCAGAAAATTAGGTATATCTCCTCTTGAAAGCAACATCACTCGTCAAGATATATGTTTTTCTGAATCTAGAGATTTCGTTGGATCGATTGGTGTACAAATATTCATATGTTATCGGGCAAACTTGAGGGTACGGTATACTCGAAGAAGCCAAACCGTATATCATTGAGAAAAGAGCTATATCTCCTCCTTTAATCATAATTGCCCGGCAATATGTATGATTCGGAGCAGTAGTGGTTTTGAGCAACTGAATGCTGCAAAGTAAATCATATATCACCGGGCAAACCTGATTGTGAGAGTATGGTTACCTTGATGTTGGTAACCTCTATTGAGCGACGTGCTGATGTTGATCAGTTGTGATAGAATGTGTATGAATGAGCGATTTTGCGCTTGCTGCTGATTGATCTTTGTGAAAATAGCCAGATCTCCTCAGGAGAGTAGAATTACTCAACAAAATGTATGTTTTTCTGAGTCTGGGGATTCCGCTGAATTGAATGATGTAAAGAAATTCACATGTTACTGGGAAACAGTGACTGCTCGTAGGCTTGATTTTGGTATCCCCTATAGCGTCGACATGAAAATGGTTATATCCGCTCAAGTAGGCGGCATTGCTCAACAGTGTACTGTTTTTCTGAATTTACAGGTTCCGTTGTATCGATTGCTATATAGAAATTGAAAGTTTACTGTGAAAACCTGAGTGTCCAGTTAGCTTGAAAATGGCAATCAGTATGGTGCTGTGGTGACGTCAAGACTGATGTATATTGGCTAATGTTACGAAACCGTTCGATCACTCTTCCCTCTCAATCTGGAAAACGTGATTATTTACGCACTAAACTGATTCCAACAAGTGTGCATGAACATGATCAGCATCACTGCATTCCTGACTTCTTGTTTCCAATATTCTCTTTCTTACAATTAGCAATGAAGAATTTGCTTCACTTCCATAACAACTCTATGATGATGATTCATAAATTTGTTATCAGCTCGATCAATTTATTCGTAAAGGATGAGTCACATGGGCACACCCGACTGTTGAGTGTTATGTGCAATCATATATCATACCAAAATAATCATTATTGACATAGCCACAAATAATCATAGACATTGTGGATTATACGTAATCTGTTTTCGTTGATACTTGCCTCGTCGACTGCTCTTATTACATATTTACCTTGCCATATCTACTGCATACGTCGCGCTAGCACCTTCTGCCTTTTTGCCATGAAATCGTATTCTGGCTTGCATACGAACGCGTTTAGCTTTTTTTTGGCTATATCAGAGTGAAAATTTCTTTTGCAGGTCAATTATCCACATTTTGAGACTTTTTTCAGTCCGAAATCGTTGAAGAATCCATGTGATTAGTTCATNAATTTCAAAAGAGCTTGTTGTGCACAACAATATGGAAGTGCTACTCGACTACACGAAGATAATGAACAATTTTTTTTCTGTCTTTGTAATCATTACCATTGTGTTCGTTCTGTTATCATGTTCAGTGTTCACAGTATATGAACGAAGCAACGTCTTACAAGGGGCACGCGCCGTGACTTCTTTGTTATGCTATCAACGATAATCATTTCCTTTAAGATGCTCACCCTTCACTGCATTACTGGTTATGACCTTATGATGGTCAGTGGTATTGCTGCTTTGATATTGTACTGCGAATGTACTCAAACTCTTTCTTATCAAATTATTATTATTCGTATGTTGTTCGCTGTATTGCGAAATATGAAACGTCTTAAACAAGCTAACAACAAGCTAACTGTGCGTTACACACAGTCATCATTTTCTAAACGCTTCGCTGAGCGTATTTAAGGAAATATTCACACTTTGAGACAATCTAACGATCAATCTGTTCTTTGAGAGAGACAAAATTGGCAAGACGGAATGAATTTCCGAAGAAACTGGCTTTTTCGACGAAGACGTGGACGGTGTTATCCATTTCCAGATCGTGAGGGAAGATGGCAGCCGCCAGAAGAAGTGAGCATCTCAGAGAAATATTACTCTTCATGATTGTGTGATATCGTCATGTCTGTTATAGTCTTATATGATAGGAGTAATTTCGTAAAATATTTCCAAAGTGATTTTTTCTCATCACTGTTCTCATTCATTTGCTTTCTACATATTCATTTCCTAACCACTTGAGCGATCAGTTTTTT